GTATGATCTATAGTTGATGGTTCAGAAGAATTATTTTGGAAATGTATGTAGTAATTTTATTGTAATAGATTCTAATGTAATGGGTTTAATTTGTTCTTCACACATTCAGCTATACTATATCAGCTAGCTATGTTGCTGCATAACAAACCACCCCAAAACTCAGTCACTCAGTCATTTGTCATTATCATAGTCCACGTGTCTGTTTCTGTGTGGGGGTCAGCAGAGTGGTTCTGCTAGTTTCAGCTAGATTGACTGGCATCTCTAAGGTCAGCTGATAGTTGGCTGGTCTTGGCTAAGGTCCTTTAAGGGGGACTGCTCTATGTGGCTCTTATCCTTCTCCTGAGATCAGTAGATTATCCTAGCTCATTCTTCCCATGCTGATGGCAACATTAGTTTCATCCTGCAAGCACATTCCAAAACTCTACTTGGATCACAAAGCTCACATACCAATGGCCACATCAAGCCAGTGGGCCAAGCTGTGGTGGGGGATCAGCCCATGGTGGGAAGACCCTGCAAAATTCTAAAGCAGAAGTCTTGGATGGAGGGAGGAGGAAGACCTGGAGCCAGGAATGCAAGTTATTTACATAATAAGGGACTCATTGACTCTAACTGAGTCAAGGGCTTCTAAATGGCCCCTTGGGCGATTAGAGCCTCTATCCATTAATTACCAGCCTAAGGCATGAAGTAGAGCAGGCCATGTCCCTGTGAGTTCATCCAAAGACAGTAGTGTTCCAAGATTGGAAATCTAGAAGTACTGTAAAATTTAAAGAAAAAGAAGAAAAAGTCATACATGTTCTGAATGATGATCCAGAGATGCTTACTATTTGGCATATTTCTTTTGATTCTTTTATCACTTTCTTCTTTAATAGTGTATAAATTTATATCTAGAGTTTTGATCCTAATATTTCATTATAAGTCTTTCATTTGTCATTAAAAAGGCCTTATACATGTAATATTAATGTCGGCATAAATATTCCATTGTATGGATGCACTGTAATTGACTTAACCTTTCTCTTGCTTATTAATGTTTTGGTTATTTCCAGTGTTTTGTGATTATAAACAATGCCATAGTGAGCTTTATTTATGCATAATCTTTATCCACATATGACATTTTCTTGTTAATGGGAAGATTACTGGCCAGAGTGCAGAGATCTGGGTTCTGCTTCTAAGTTGCCATGTGACCTAGGCCTGGGTATCATTTTCCTCATCCAGAAATGATAGGCTGGGTGTGGTGGCTCAAGCCTGTAATCCCAGCACTTTGGGAGGCTGAGGCAGGTGGATCACCTGAGGTCAGGAGTTGAAGAACAGCCTGGCAAACATGGTGAAAACCCATCTCTACTAAAAATACAAAAATTAGCCAGGCATGGTGGTATGTGCCTGCAATCTAAGCTACTTGGGAGGCTGAGGCAAAAGAATCACTTGAACCCAGGAGGCAGAGATTGCAGTGAACAGAGATCGCGCCACTGCACTCCAGCCTGGGTGATGGAGAGAGACTCCATCTCAAAAAAAAAAAAAAAGTATCTTTGAGCTTGACGATCTTAAACCCCTTTCTAACACTAAAGCATCTTTCAGGATCAAGGACTGAATTGCTGTATTGGAGTGGAAGCATGAAAGCAACGCCAGCTGTTTGTCTTCCAAAAAGCTCAGGGGAGGAGAAGCTGCTTCCTTGGGTTTACTCTCGAAAATGTATAGTTGTCCTTGAGAGAGAAGGTTTCCTTGTACAGTTCAAGTACCATTGCTTGCCCTGTGGTTTCCATTCCCTGAGGCAGCAGTGGTGATATTTGTATGTTTGTAAAGAGGGCTATAGGACACTGGGCATTAAGAATGTCAACGGTCCTGACCTCGTTTTACGAACGTGCACGCTTTGAGAATGGCCTCGCTAGACTGGAAGAACTGATCCTATCACCCGTCTTCATTTTGTCTTATAATTTTGTATTCACTTTTTGTTTTACTTTGCCCTTTCTTTTGTTTGCCTTGTGAATTAAGTTTCATCGCAGTCACCTTCCCGGCACAGTCGGGGGATCTGGCCTTATCTCACAATTTCCTGGACATTCTGTGCACCCTTTTCCTCAGGGATGCTTCCTTCACTGTTCACTTCAGCCTGTACTGAGGCTGTATTTCATCTTACCATCAACTTTCTGCCAGCCTCTGCCAGGGATAAATACTGCTCAGTGTGGGCAGGCTTTAAGTGTTGACTTCAAAAAAACAGAAGTAAAGCTGTGCAGGGTGGCTCATGCCTAATCCCAGCACTTAGGGAGGCCGAGGTGGGCTGATCACCTAAGATCAGGAGTTCAAGACCAGCCTGGCCAACATGGTGAAACCCTGTCTCTACTAAAAATACAAAAATTACCTGGGTGTCATGGCGGGCACTTGTAATTCCAGCTACTCGGGAGGCTGAGGCAGGAGCATCGCTTGAATCCGGGGGGCGGAGGTTGCACGGAGCCAAGATTGCACCACTGCACTCCAGCCTGGGCAACAGAGCAAGACCCTGTCTCAAAAACAAAAAACAAAAAAAGCAAAAGCATCACCATGTCATTGCTGCATGGAGGAAATGGGATCTATGCTGTCTCTGTCTCTCCAGCCCTTCCCTGACTGTCCTAAGTGGGTGTTCTTTGCAGCAGACAGTGTCTTCTAGTTCCTAAATTCCCTTGGGGAGAAGCAACAGAATCTTTTGGCTCGTGGTTTAGTTGCTTCTTCTCTGGGCTGAGCTGGGGCGCCGTCTGAGTCCAGTGCAGAGTGGTCTCCCTCCTCTGGCCGCCATCAGAGGGCCCTTTGTTCCCGCGTCCTCCCCCTTCATCAAGATGTGGCCCACACCCCGTGAAGGATGGAAATCCCCGTCACACCACAGCACTCAGCAGACCCGCTCTAAAAGCAAAACATCTTCCATCAACAGAAGGCCTGCTCATCCTGTCTTTATTTCACCTCGGAAAATAAATTGGGGCTGGGATAACTCCTCAGTTATAATTGGATTTGGGGGGTAATCATTTGCCTTGAATATGAACCCGTTTTTGTGCTTGAAGGAAGTTGCTTATGAAACATAATTTTAATAATCATGGATTTTATTTCTTAGTTTCTGTGTCTGCCCTTCCCTTCCTCATAGCAGTTCTGAATGATTGTACTTTTTCCTAAGAAAACTGGAGTCACATTCTTGAATGTAAAATAAATTTATAATGTGAATGACTTTGCTCCCCTGACAGTCATGGGTCACTAAGAATGTGAAATGTGGTGTGTGTGTTTAAGCATTTTGATAAAGCAAAGGGGCATGTCTTTGCTTTGAGTCTCATTTTGGTAAAACTGGTGTCAACTAAGGAATGTGGACTTTGGCTTGCTTTGTCTTGTTCTGTGGCTGTTTCCACCCCCCTGGTCTTCTCCTTTCTTTCCCTCCTTCCTGCTTTCCAGGGCAGTGCTGAGACACGAGCTCCAAAGCAATTTGTTAAGAAATACAGGGTACCAAAGCTGGGCGCCGTGGCTCATGCCTGTAATCCCAGCACTTTGGGAGACCGAGGCAGGCAGATCATGAGGTCCGGAGATTGAGATCATCCTGGCTAAACCTCGCCTCTACTAAAAAAATACAAAAAATTAGCCGGGTGTGGTGGTGTGCGCCTATTGTCCCAGCTACTCCAGAGGCTGAGGCAGGAGAATCACTTGAACCTGGGAGGCGGAGGTTGCAGTGATCCGAGATTGCACCACTGCGCTCCAGCTTGGGCGACAGAGTGAGACTCTGTCTCAAAACAAACAAATAAACAAACAAAGAAAATAACAGGGTACCACTTAGACTCTGAGAAGAATGTACGTTAGGTGACAGAGACACTCTGTCTGTTCAGTCTTGTCTCTCAGTTGTCATCTATCCCCAGGCCTGGTGATAATCAGGAAAGTCAAGACAAGATGCCGCTGTTTTCTCCCAAAGAGTATTTAGTACATATCAGCAAAGGGCAGATACAAACCAAAGTCTCCCAAAGGGCTGAGCAGAGTTTCTGGAAGTCTAAGTTAGGTTCAAGGCCTAGGTGGGATCACAGTGAAAACAGAAGAGAACCCCCCCCCAAAAAAAAAAAGGAGTGAAAAAAGTATCAAAGAACCAAATAAGTTTCCTTTGCGGAGAGGGAGAGAGAGACCTACCCACCACGCTCACGTTCTCTCCTGTTGGTGATCAACCATTTCCTTGCTTCTCTCTCTTTCTTTCTCTCTCTCTCTCTCTCTCTCTCTCTCTCTCTCTCTCTCTCTCTCTCTCCCCACCCCGCTTCATTCCTTCCTCCCTCTCCTCTCCCCTTCCCTCCCTTTTTCTCCCCTTCCCTCTCTCCTCCCCTCTCCTCGCCTCCACTCCTCTCCCTTCCTTTTCTCTCTCTCTCTTTCTTGACAGGGTCTCACTCTGTTGCCCAGGCTCTGGAGTACATTTACGTGATCAGAGCTCACTGAAGCCTCGACTTCCTGGCTCAAGCAATCCTTCTGCCTCAGCCTCCCAAGTAACTGGGACCACAGACACTCACCATTGCACCTAGCTCATTAAAAAAATTTATTTTTTGTAGAGACAGCATCTTGCATGGTAATCCTCTTGCCTTGGCCTCCCAAAGTGCTGGGATTATTGGTGCCAGCCACTGTGCCTGGCTGTTTTTTCCTTTCATATTTTTAAATGTGCTTGTTTATTTATTTTTGAATAGATAACACATTTACTCGATTTGACAACCAAAAAGAGTAGCTCATTGCACATTCAAAATCCTCCCTTCTATTCCACTCCCCATCAACCCAGGTTTCTTCCTGCTTTTCCCAGGAAGCCAAGCTTCTTTCTTTTGAATGGATTCCCTCCAGAGTTTCTTTAGGCATGCTCATATGCAAACGAATACAAGTATGGATTCTTACTTTGCTGTTCATATCTCTCGATCTTTTATTCTACTCTCAATCATCCTTCACTGAGCTTTTTGGAGGAGAAAGACCAGTGGTTGCTTGCTTTGCTTATGCCCGATGCCCTGAACAAGTTCACATGTGTGCTCGTCTTTTTCCTGCAGACGAGGTGGAAAGTGAGAAGTGGTACCTGTCTACAGACTTCCCTTCAACAACCATCAAGACAGAGCCCATTACAGATGAACCACCTTCCGGACTCGTTCCATCTGTCACTCTGACCATCACAGCCATCTCTACCCCGTTTGAAAAGGAGGAACCCCCTCTGGAAATGAATACTGGGGTATGCTCAATTTTCTTCTGTATAAGCAGGTTGGATTAAAAGATACAGATTCTCATTCTCCAATAAGGTGTTTAATCTTTTTGGAGTTAGTGGCTGTGTACATTTAAGGACATGCGACTTTGTGTGTGTATATATACGTATGTAGACATTTAATAAGGGTATGTTGATTTGGTGCCAGCTTCCTTGAAAGCCGTTGTTCAGAAAAAAATTAGTAGCTAAGCTGATTTCATTCCCTCTTTGATTACTGTTATGAAATAAAAAAAAACACAGAACATATCTATGGTTAAAAAAAAAAATTCTCCATGGCACTGATTTTTTAAGCAATGGAACAATCCACGGTTTAGAGTACGTGGCCGCTGGGAATGTGAGCTCCTGTGTAATATTTTACTTTCATAGTGAAATGCTGAGTTGTTCTTACTCAAGTCAGGAACATCCCGCCTATTGCTTCATTTAATAACATGAATAATATTAACAATATTAATAACAGTACAACAATATGAATAATATTACTAGTAATAATGTCACTTATTATTGTGTTACCCATGGAACGCATAAAAAATAAGGATTTCTCTTTACTGGATTCCATGCCTACCGCAAGTAGAATCTAATTCTACTCTACCTTCTTTCTGGGTATTTCCAGTGTCTGGCCACGGACCGGCATCATATTTGCACGTCTTCTTGCAAGTGTTGGAAGCCTGTCTTAGCCCTCCTTAAGTTCAAAGCCTCAGGTTATAAACAATACTTCATTAACATTCCTTAGTCAGATTTTTTTGTCAACAAGATAGAGTGTCTGCCTGTAGCCGGGCATGGTGGCTCACACCTGTGATCCCAGCACTTTAGGAGGCTAAAGCTGCAGTAAGCCGAGATCATGCCACCACACTCCAGCCTGGGCGACAGAGCGAGATTCTGTCTCAAAAAAAAAAAAAAAAAAAGTGTCTGCCTGTTCAGAATAAGGTAACACAGAAGCAGTAGAGTCATGAAAGTGTCACTACATACTCACCTCTTAGTCCGTCTGTGTAGATGATGAAGCGCTGAAGACAGAGGCCTCGGCAGCTGTGCGGGGATTCCTTTCTCAGTAGCTATTTGAGTCTCTTTATTGAGCTGGGCTCCCTGGGCCTATATGACTCTCCTCGTTCCATGGAATTTTAGTCGAGTTATTTTATTTCTTTTTTATTTATTTTTATTTTTATTTTTATTTTTTTGAGGCGGAGTTTTGCTCTTGTTACCCAGGCTGGAGTGCAATGGCGCGATCTCAGCTCACCGCAACCTCCGCCTCCTGGGTTCAGGCAATTCTCCTGCTTCAGCCTCCTGAGTAGCTGGGATTACAGGCACGCGCCACCATGCCCAGCTAATTTTTTTTGTATTTTTAGTAGAGACGGGGTTTCACCATGTTGACCAGGATGGTCTCGATCTCTCGACCTCGTGATCCACCCGCCTCGGCCTCCCAAAGTGCTGGGATTACAGGCTTGAGCCACCGTGCCTGGCGAGTTATTTTATTTCTTTATTACTTTTTTATTTTTTCAGACAGAGTCTCACTCTGTTGCCCAGGCTGGAGGGCAGTGGCATGATCTTGGCTCACTGCAACCTCTGCCTCCTGGGTTCAAGCGATTCTGTACCTCAGCCTCCTGAATAGCTGGGACTACAGGTGCTGGCCACCACGCCTGGCTAATTTTTGTATTTTTAGTAGAGATGGGGTTTTACCATGTGGGCCAGGCTGGTCTTGAACTCCAGACCTTAAGTGATCCACCCACCTCGGCCTCCCAAAGTGTTGGGACTACAGACGTCAGGCACCACACTTGGCCTGGTTGAGTTATTGTAAAGAATGTAACTAGCAAAGCTGGGAGGCCTGGCCTTGCCCCTGTGTATGGGCCAGATAACTCTTCTCTTTTCCCTACCAGGCATCTTATGATTAGATGTCATCAGTCATTAGGAAGCCTGGAGAGAAAGGATGTGGCTTGGTGCACAGTCTCTACCCCAGGGCAAGTTGGTGGAGGCCTGAGACTCTTTCAAAATATACAGAATATTTTGTAGTAAAGTGCCTTTATATTACCACAAAAACATAGAATATTGATATACTCTTGGGCATGAGCATTTGGCTTTCAGCTTTAGAATTCTGAGCGTCCTTTTCTTTTTCTTTTTTATTTTTTTTGAGATAGGGTCTCACTCTGTTACCTAGGCTGGAGTGCAATGGTATGATCATAGCTTGCTGCAGCCTCAAATTCCTGGGCTCAAGTGATTCTCTTGCCTCAGCCTCCCAAGTAGGTGGGACTGCAGGTGCATACCATCACACCTAGCTAATTTTTGTGTTTTTTGGGGAGACGGTGTCTCAGTATGTTACCCAGGGTGGTCTCAGGTAAGTTCTGAGGGTCCTGTCAGCAAAGGTTAAGAACTAAAATGACTCCCTGTCAGGGGAGCTGCCTACACTCCGCTCTTCTCCAGAGTAGGCAGGTTGTCCTGAGAGGAAGACAGAGTGACAAATAGCTCTCCTGAGTGGGTCTTCAAGGCTGTGACTGTTTTTTAAAAACTGTGTTTGAAATTCTTCCTCCAGGTTGACTCCTCATGCCAGACCATTATTCCTAAAATAAAGCTGGAGCCTCACGAAGTGGATCAGTTTCTAAACTTCTCTCCTAAAGAAGGTCTGTGTGCCCTCCCTGTGTCCCTTTGGGTAATGGATATGGTCTCTGAGTCTACAGAGAGAGGGAATAAGGTGAGAGAGCTGAGATGAGTTTGTATCACAGGTGTGGCTGGCTTTATGAAACAGGTCTGTTCTTTTTTTTTTTTTTTGAGACAGAGTTTCGCTCTTGTTACCCAGGCTGGAGTGCAATGGCACGATCTCGGCTCACCGCAACCTCCGCCTCCTGGGTTCAAACAATTCTCCTGCCTCAGCCTCCTGAGTAGCTGGGATTACAGGCACGCACCACCATGCCCAGCTAATTTTTTGTATTTTTAGTAGAGACGGGGTTTCACCATGTTGACCAGGATGGTCTCGATCTCTTGACCTTGTGATCCACCTGCCTTGGCCTCCCAAAGTGCTGGGATTACAGGCTTGAGCCACCGCACCCGGCCCAAAACAGCTCTGTTCTTAAAACCTAAAAATTTTGCTTCCAAATAAAAATTTTGAAAGCTAAATATAATTTTCCCATATATGCACATGATTAATTTCCAGCTAAGCATTATCCTACTTTTACTTCTAGCCAGGTGATTTTTTTTCAAAACCTTTATGGACTGCTGCTACAAACACTCTCAAACAAGAGAACCACAGCCCTTATTTATCTAGGGGCGAACCCTATATAGCCCCACAAATAAACAATTGACAAAGGCACCTTGCTTGTTTAAAACAACTCTCGTTTCAACTCTTTGTGAAGTAAATTTACACTGAATTATGTGGCCAATTCATTGTTTGTAAGCACTGACTTTGGATGACAACTATTGCAGGGAGCCCCTATCTGTTTGGTCATGTTCATGGCTTACAATTGTGTATCTTTTTGGGCTTCTTGACATCCATCCATTTAGAATTAACTAATGTCATACTTGAGCTTGTCATACTTTTTTTTTTGGTTTGTTTTTTTGAGACAGAGTCTCATTCTGTTTCCCAGGCTGGAGTGCAATGGCACGATGTTGGCTCACTGCAACCTCTGCCTCCTGGGTTCAAGCAATTCTCATGTCTCAGCCTCCTGAGTAGCTGGGATTATAGGCACATGCCACCACACCCAGCTAATTTTGGTATTTTTAGTAGAGACGAGGTTTCGCCACGTTGGCCAGGCTGGTCTTGAACTCCTGGCCTTAGGCAATCCGCCCGCCTTGGCCTCCCAAAATGCTGGGATTAGAGGCCTAAGCCACTGCACCTGGCCAAGGTTGTCATACTTCTACATTTCTCTTTCTCTATATCAGTTTCTTTCTGAATTTCTCTTTGTTGTCCTGTGAAGCCCATAGTTTAGAATCCTGGATGCAGACTCCTGAGCATCATAAAGTCTATTGAAGCTCTCTGCCTTGTTTATGCAGATTCTCCTGGATAGATCCTGTTCTTCTCACTTCTGTGCCTTTATTCATGTCAGCACTTCCCTTTTCATTCATATTTTTTATTTATTTATTTACTGTTTTTTTGAAACAGGGTCTCACTCTGTTGCCCAGGCTAGAGAGTAGTAGTGCAATCATGGCTCACTTCAACCTCATAAGCTTCAGTGATCCTCCCACCTCACCCTCCCAAGTAGCTGGGACTACAGGCATGCACCACCATGCCCAGCTGAATTTTGTATTTTTTGTAGAGCTAGGGTTTCACCATGTTGGCCAGGCTGGTCTCAAACTCCTGAGCTTAAGTGATCCTCCCACCTTGGCCTCCGAGAGTGCTAGCATTATAGGCATGTGCCACCTCACCTGGTCCCATTCATATTTCAGTACAAATTTCAAAGTACGGTTCGTTACTGTGGTCAACAAATAAGAAATTGGCATATACAATTGCCACCAAAAAGCTGTATGTGCTATAGTATATAAATATGAAGATGTAACATATGAGTACTTCTCATGAAAATATCATCTGCCTTCATTCCATTGCAGACTAACTGGATTTGATTTGTGATGGTGTAATCAGGGTTGGCCCTTTTTTTTAACCTTTATTGTCAACAAAGAAAGGATTAAATTTTAAAAGTTAATAGTCCTGACTAGAATCCATATTGAGACACTATTTCTTTGCACTGAATGACAGACAGTAGTGCCTTTCAGCTTCATATACTGCTTCAGAGTAATAGCTTTCATTTGTATAATACTGGTTATGACTATCAAAGGCATCTCGCTCTTTTAATTTATGCTGTGATGTGATTCAGAAGTGTCATCACCATCACAATGAATCCCGTCGTGGCTTCTGAATCTGGGGTCACTGGAGGAGAAATGTTTCCAGAATAAAGTGAAGGACAGCTCTTCCTCATTATCCTGGATAAACAGAGATAAGGAAATTCAATATCCTTGACCGCATCAGTTTCTAGGCAAAGTGGCTTGTTGTCCCCAGACCTTGCAGTAACCCAAGAGCGGCATTTCAAATGATATTTAGAAATCTGATCCTGAGGCGCCTCTGACCAGATCTGTAGCTCTTAATAGGTAGGAAAGACAAGAATTTAAGTTGCTTCACCTGCTTTTCTTGTCATTCTCTTTCTGTCTTTTGTGGGGTGCCCTCTGCTTAGACAGGAGAACAGTATTAGAATAATTTGGCCCCTACCAAGTGAAAGGGACTAGGGTGGGTCTAGGTACTTTGGGCTGGTTCTTGGGAACGTAACAGTACGGAGCCCCTATTAGGTTCGTCTGCTTCCCGTTTATTTATTTATTTATTTATTTATTTTTAAAACCATGCAGTGCCGTAATATTCATGACATTAGGGAAACTTTGATTAACACTCTTAGGACTCCTAACCCTACTTCTTAGCCAAGCACCTGCCTATTTAAGGCACATGCTTCCCTTCTTGGGCTACCTGCACCTGTGGCAGGAGTACTGGGAATAGCACGTTTAGGACTATTTTCATATATTCTTTAGCTTTATGAGTGCCCACAGAGAATAAAAAGCCCAGGGACCTCTTTGGCAAGACTGGCAGAGAAAAAGGGAAAGAAGAAACATCGAGAGAAAAGTAGTATGTGGCACAAAGAGAGAGAAAGGGTGGGAGAGAGACAGGGAATGACAATGAGAGAAAAAGAGAAGAAAGAAAAGCATGCCAGGGACGGGGGGACCAGGGTTGTCTGAGGGGGCATCGCCTATGGTGGCCTCAGCTATTCAGGTATTCCTGCAAGAGAGAGCTGCTGACTGCTGCTCGCCCTCTCTGAGGGCGGTATTAGCCCAATTTCACACTGCGGATAAAGACATACCTGAGACTGGGTGATTTATAAAGAAAAATAGGTTTAATGGACTCACAGTTCCATGTGGATAGGGAGGCCTCACAATCATGGCAGAAGGTGAAAGGCACATGTTACAAGGCAGCAGGCAAGAGAGAAAATGAGAACCAAGCAAAGGGCGTTTCCCCTTGTAAAATCATCAGATCTCATGAGGCTTATTCACTACAAGAACAGTATGGGGGAAACCACTCCCATGATTCAGTGATCTCCCATTGGGTCCCTCCCCCAACACAAAGGAATTCTGGGAGCTACAATTCAAGATGAGTTTTGGGTAGGGACACAGCTAAGTCATATCAGGCAGCTATGGGTGAGGTCATATTTCTTGGGTCAGTGGTATCTCAGGAGGACCCTTCCCATCCATAGTACCTTGGGTGGTCTCCATCAGAAGAAGGGACAAGGAGGTGAAGCGCTGAAGCTTCCTTTGACCTTCAGCAGTTAAGTTTCCTGGCTGAGCAGACCCAGTTGTGTGTGAAGCAGCCTGGAGCCATGCTCACCACGCAGCTGCCCTACAGAGGGCTCCATTGTCCTGGGGGCCCCAGGAATGAAGCATTTACCTGCCATTATCTCCCTTGGCTCAGTAGCAGTGTCTGGCACAACAGAAATTCGCGCTGTTCAGAAAGAGCAGTGAGACCCAAGAGTGCTTTTGTTCATGAGGAGGCCTGGTGGGATTCCTCCTTCACAAGCGCATCTTTGCTGCCCTGTAGATGCCCAATGGATGCCAACTAAGGCTCCATAGGCCCTGGCAGAGAGGGTGTTGTGCCTCCCTAAGGAAGGGCGAGGGAGGCTTTGGAGGAGAGAGTCCCCCCACTGCACTGCCACTTACTTTTCCTGGGCCCACTTCCCTATCCGAAGATGGATTTCATGTTTTCTGAATGAAGAATTCCTGGCGTCTTGCCTATGGGCCTGACCATGCACATTGCTCCAGAAACAAACCGGCTTTTTTCCAAACAGCTGCTGGGAACCCCCATGGGTCCCCAGGCTTTGCTATTAAAAAAAAAAAAAGAAAGAAAAACTTTAAAAAGTGCATGATACATTAGCATGATTTAGAAATCAAACTATGTAAACTATCTCAAAATAATACAGTGAAAAGTTTTGTCAACACCCTGTTGCAGTCTACCCTGATTTCTCCCTGCCCGCCTCAGTTTGCACTATTTTATTTTATTCTATTCTATCTTATTTTTTGAGGTGGAGTCTCGCTCTGTCACCCAGGCTGGAGTGCAGTGGAGCAATCTCAGCTCACTGTAACCTCCACCTCCTGGGTTTAAGCTATTCTCCTGCCTCAGCCTCCCAAGTAGCTGGGACTACAAGCATGCCCATGCCTGGCTAATTTTTGTATTTTTAGTAGAGATGGAGTTTCGCCATGTTGGTCAGTCTGGTCACATACTCCTGACCTCAGGTGATCTGCCTGCCTCAGCCTTCCAAAGCGCTGGGATTACAGGCGTGACCCACCGCGCCTAACCCCTGACTGCACTCTTATTGATAAGTTTCTTGTATATGCTTTCAGTGTTTCTTTTTGCCATTACAAGCAAATGTGAGTCTATATCCTCTTTCTCTCCTTTTTCATACAAAAGAAGGACTCCCATATCCACCCTCTGCACCATCTGCTCATGGAGGCTCCTCACGCTTTAGTTCGCTTTTGTGCACGTCAGTTGTGTCCTGGTTTGTGGCTGTGGGATGGATGAGATGTGCTTCCTTTTTTTCAGCCCCAGTGGATCACCTGCATTTGCCGCCCACTCCCCCAAGCAGTCACGGCAGCGACTCGGAAGGCAGCCTGAGTCCCAACCCATGCCTGCACCCCTTCAGCCTGCCTCAAACCCACAGCCCCTCCAGAGCCGCACCCCGGGCCCCCTCCGCCCTCTCCAGCTCCCCTCTCCTCACGGCTCCTCATGTAAGTATGCATGGGCACTCCCAGACCAAAGGGAACCCTCTCCATTCATTCCCATGGGGCTTTATCCAGAGCAGGACCACGCAAGGCTGCTTGTTTTTTACTTTCATCAAGAAGTTTCTGTTTAATGGCGAAAGTCATGATGTGGTCAAGAGTGATGATGTCAGCCCTAAAGAAACTTTTTTTTTTTTTTTTCTGTTGAGACTGAGTTTCGCTCTTGTTACCCAGGCTGGAGTGCTATGGCGTGATCTCAGCTCACTGCAACCTCCTTCTCCTGGGTTCAGGCAATTATTCTGCCTCAGCCTCCTGAGTAGCTGGGATTACAGGCAGGCACCACCATGCCCAGCTAATTTTTTGTATTTTTAGTGGAGACGGGGTTCACCATGTTGACCAGGATGGTCTCGATCTCTTGACCTTGTGATCCACCTGCCTTGGTCTCCCAAGGTGCTGGGATTACAGGCTTGAGCCAATGCGTGTGGCCTCTTACTATTTTTTTTAAATTGCATTTTAGGTTTTGGGGTACATATGAAGAACATGCAAGATTGTTGCATAAGTACACACGTGGCAGTGCGATTTGCTGCCTTCCTCCCCATCACCTATATCTGGCATTTCTCCCAATGCTATCTCTCCCCAACTCCCCACCCCCTGCTGTCCCTCCCCTGTTTTCCCCCCGACAGACCCCAGTGTGTGATGCTCCCCTCCCTGTGTTCATAGGTGGGTGTTGAACAATAAGAAACTTTTTAAGAACTGTCCGTACCTCTCACCTTACTACCACCATTCTCTTGGTTTCCACATGCACTCTTCCAGTTTTTATTATTCGTATGTTTATTTTACAGAACTGTAGACATGAGGAATACAAATTTTGTTTTTTTCTCCTCAAAATTCTATCATAAATATTTGCATTAATTTGACGGTCCTTGTGGCCTATGTCATAGTGAATGCCTTTTATATTTTAAATAAGCAATTTTTGGTGAATTTAAAATTATTCTGAGATTAAATTCTTTGATGCCTAGAGGTCAAAAACAGTTTAAGCCTTTTTTTGTGTATCGTATGGCTCTTAATCCAAAAACTCAGATCAGACATCAAGAGCCATCACCCATCCCTCACATACACGAGGACACCATAATAAAGAAGAATAGGTCATTAATTTCTTATTGTTCTAGGGGTGAATTGATTTCTATGAAATTTACAAAATTATAATCAGCTTTTTTGAATTTACGGTATCACAACGAGCGAATTTAAATAAAATGAGATGTTTAAAAATTCTGTAAGAACCATCCATCCATTAACATAACTTAGAAATTTTGGATTGATCCAGTCCCTGAAAGTTTTAGATCTGTAACCACATTCTTATATTTCGCCATTACTGAGGACAAGGGAATTCACCTTTCCATTCTTTCTTCACCTTTTCAACTTGAACTTGACTTCACTCCTTGGATGACTAGAATAGTTTGTATCTTATATACCTGTGTGTACTGCTATGATCAGTCCATCCTACATGTTTATGGAGGAACCCTTCCCCACGTCAGACCATCTTGTGTTTCCCTGCTACCTGTTGGCACCAAGCCCTGACACCTTTACTCATTATCAGGTGCCCAACCCTCTGCTGCTTCAAGAACTCCTTACCCACACTAGGCAGAGTGGCATCTTCAGTGACTTTTCAAAATACTGCCTTTTGCTTAGAATGCCCTCTTCTCTCTTATGTAAATCACCCCCTTTCTTTTGGGAGGCCCAATTAGAGTCTCATCTCCAGCCCTAAACCTTTCCTGATCATATAACTCATAGCAGTGTTTTCTTACTTCAGATTTGTAGTGCACCTTTAGCGAATGTATTAGTCTGTTTACACACTGCTGATAAAGACATACCTGAGACTGGGCAATTTACAAAAGAAAGAGGTTTAATTGGACTACAGTTCCACATGGCTGGGAGGCCTCACAATCATGGTGGAAGGCAAGGAGGAGCAACTCGTGTCTTACATGGATGGCAGCAGGCAAAAAAGAGAGCTTGTGCAGGGCAGGCTCTTAATACCATCAGATCTTGTGAGACCTATTCACTATCACAAGAACATCATGAGAGAGACCCATCCCCACTAAGTTCAGTCGTCTTCCACGGGGTCTCTCCTACGACACGTGGGAATTATGGGAGCTGTAAGATGAGATTTGAGTGGGGACACAGAGCCAAACCATATCAGCTAAGATTACAGTTTAGCATTTAATTACTCTTATCTTTTTATGGGTATCAATTTAGTCTCACAGTGTTGATCACAAGCTACTTGAGAGAGAGAGTTTTTTGAGTCCTCCATGGCATTTAGTATGGAGCTAAAACGCAATAGTGATTGTTTGATTAATTATAAGCATAGCATTCTCCTGTGACTTCCCTGAGATGGGATACTGTTCTTGCCTTCATTGCTGATGGACAATCTAAGACCACTGAAGCCAGAGGCTTCTGTGAAAAGAGCCTGCAGGTGTGTCCCTGGGTGCTCTAGACCTGTAGCTAAAAGTAGAGGAGAGAAGAGACTCCTGGTGTGTAGAGAGCACCTTGTAAAATTGCGTTTTTCAGAAGGAGAACAACAAAACTTCCACAAAGCAAGGCTGCAAATGAGTGAATCCTTCATCCACTCCAAGGCCAGGACATCTTTAGGGATGTGGGAAATGACTTCTCTACTTTTTCTTTTCATGTTTTAGTGAGTGGGGTGCTTCCTGGGAAATAATGGGTGGAGGCTTCTTTATTCTTTCCCTTGAATTATAATCCCTAGGTTGTAACACTAACATGGGAGTATCTTCCCCATCTTCCCGTGCCCTTCAAAATACCCATCTGTCACCCAAAGCAGACAGGGCATCCTTGTAACAGATTCTCAACACCCCATTGGGAGGTGATTCTTCAGTGGTCCCAGTTCTTTTTTTTTTTGACCCTTTTTTACTCCTTGATCTTCACAGAAACTGCAGGGATCAGGCCCTCTGGTCCTGACGGAGGAGGAGAAGAGGACCCTGATTGCTGAGGGCTATCCCATCCCTACCAAATTGCCCCTGACAAAATCAGAGGAGAAGGCCCTGAAGAAAATTCGGAGGAAGATCAAGAATAAGGTGAGCCCTTCAAATCCAGGCACTTCTGCAGCAGAGACATGAGCAGAATCGAGTCAGCATGCCCTTCCCTGCCTTCCAAAGGGCCAGCACTAACCCATCCTGTGGTGGAGATCAAAGCCCAGCCCTTCCCTTCTCTAGGCCCTGGGGGGACCACCCTCACCACTTACCTCTCCCTTCCTCCAGGCCATCCCATTCCTCCTGAGGCCAGCAGACTCCCAAATCAGTGTCTACTTCATTGGTACCCATGATGAGACATTCAGGGGCGGGAGGAAGCTATTATAACTTCCCCCTTAGGGAAATTATAATATGATTTAATTTATAAATTAAATATTATAAAATATTTTATTTATAAATATAAAATATTTTAATTGATAAATCTAATAAAATTGTTTTATTAAAAATTAAATAAAAGGCTGAGATTTAAAAAAAATAAACGTAAATTGCAGGAAAAATGCAATTTAGGTTTTTTTTTTTTTAAATCTCAGCCTTTTATTTATTTTATTTTTATTTTTATTTTTATTTTTATTTTTATTTTTCCTGAGACAGAATCTTGCTCTGTCACCCAGGCTAGAGTGCAGTGGCACCATCTCGACTCACTGCCACCTCTGCCTCTCAGTTCAAGTGATTCTCCTGCCTCAGTCTCCCAAGTAGCTGGAACTACAGGCATGCGCCACCATGCCCGACTAATTTTTGTATTTTTGGTAAAGACAGGGTTTCACTATGTTGGCCAGGTTGGTCTTGAACTCCTGACCTAATGATCCACCTGCCTTGGCCTCCCAAAATGCTAGGATTACAAGCATGAGCCACCGTGCCCAGCAATCTCAGCCTTTTAAATTTTGGGTTTATGATATATACAATAGTTTCCTCTAGTAGACCTATGTATATGTATTTTATACATCTATGTATATAATACAGCATATATATGTGTCATATATATAAAGTACAAATACACTGAGAGTGCTTGGTTAATTTTTTTTTCTTCGTAGGGTTTTGTGATTACAAAACTTCTGCAGTTTGCCAGTCTGTGTTTGGACTCAGTAATCTCCTAGCCCTAGACCCCTCAGTGCTGAGCAGGACTAATGAAAACCAGGGGCATGGCTGAGGCACAGGCCTATCAGGAGGGAGGGGGCAAAGGGCGAAGGAAGACAAGCTTAGTGTCACTCTATCCGTGCGCAGAACCAGCAGCAAGTTGATGTCTGACCAAGCCTGAGCTGTCTTATTTTATAGATGTAGTTCAGGAGGTGCAGGAGTTCAACTCATTTATCTGAGACCACACTGATGGCTTGTGAGCCACATGTTCTGGTCTGGCTCCTCACTCCGTGTCCACTTTTTTTCTTTTTTCTTTTTCTTTTTTTGATACACAGTCTCACTCTGTCACCCAGGCTTGAGTACAGTGGTGTGATTTTGGCCCACTGTAACCTCTGCCTCCCAAGTTCGAGAGATTCTTCTACCTCAGCCTCCCGAGCAGCTGGGACCACGGACACATGCCACCATGCCTGGCTAATTTTTTTGCATTTTAAATCTAGATGGGTTTTCACCATGTTGGCCAGGCTGGTCTGGAACTCCTGACCTCAAGCAATCAGCCCACCTCGGTATCCCAAAGTGTTGGGATTACAGGCGGGAGCCACCGCACCTGGCCACTCTGTCCATTTTATGGGGGGCCTAGTTTGTAGGAAAATAGGTGTGAGTTTGGCAGCTGGAAACCCAGGAGGACAGAATAGGTGACTAGTCGATGAACCAGCAGCTTAAACAAATGGCAAGCAGCTTGCAGAAGTGAGCAGGGCTTCGGTGACTTCTGTGCGAACCACCTCCCGTCTTAACGGGCTCACTTACAGAGCTGGAAATTAATCATGCTCCTCCCACCCCTCTCTCTCAGATTTCTGCCCAGGAAAGTAGGAGAAAGAAGAAAGAATACATGGACAGCCTGGAGAAAAAGTAAGTCTGCTGACAAGCTGTTGTGTTTATGGGGTAGTATGCGCAGAGAAATGTGAGTGTGCGAAGAAGCTGGCAGAAGCAGTTAAATTCCTCTTTCAGGCTGCCTTGGAAACCCGGTGGTTTATCAGCCATATTTTGCCTGCCACCTAGTGGTTATTTGGAGGGGACGTCTATAATAAGGAAAGAAGTCAAAGTATCTTAGTAGGCATTTGACTCACACCGTTTCCAGCCAAGGATCTCGAGTCCTCAGAGACTTCCTTTTAAACAAATACCAGTATTAACATTCCTGCACGTTCCTGGAACTCCTAGGAGGAGGAGCCCTGTTTTAGCTGAAAGGATCAGTCACTTCCTCGGCTCCCTCTGGCTACACTCCCTCATGCTCTAGAGAGGGCACACAGGGAAAGAAAGAAAGAAATCAGGTTGGCAGCCTTTATTTTCCAGCCACTCTAATTCATGCCCTATGTGAGTGAATTTTTGGAAAAACACTTGAAGGCAATCTTTGTTCTTTTGAAAAGTCTGTAATATCAGGCGGGCTGTTAGAGAAAGGTGAATTTAAAAAGGTGAATTAAGAAAAAGACAGTTTGGTCTTAGCCCTAGAAGTTCGTTTTTCAGTGAACAAACCCAGATCTTTTTAAAATGGGCATGAGGCCCCAAGCCCAGAAATGAACTTCATGTGGGTCTGGGGAAAGGAGTGGCTGGTGGTTCCTGGCTGTTTCTAGAAGTTACTACGGAAAGTTTAGTGCTTCCATCACCTGACTTAAATACTGGTAATACAGCATTAAGTATGCTCAGTTCTCCATATCTGGGGTTTCAGCATCCTCAGATTCAACCAACCATGGGTTGAAAAGATTCAGAAAAGAACCTCAGTAGTCTGGGTGTGATGGCTCACTCTTGTAATCCCAGTGCTTTGGGAGGCCAAGGTGAGAGGATTGCTTGAGCTCAGGAGTTCAAGACAAGCTTGGGTAACACAGCCAGACCCCATCTCTACAAAAAATTTAAAAAAATTAGCCAGGCCTGGTGGTGCATGTCTGTGGTCCCAGCTATTTAGGAGGCTGAGAGGGGAGAATCACTTGAGCCCAAGAGGTTGAGGCTGCAGTGAGCTGTGATGGTGCCACTGCACTCTAGCCTCGATGATAGCATGAGACTCTGTCTCAAGAAACCAAAACCAAAACAAAACAACTCAATTAAAAAAAAAGACTACAACAATAAAAGTTAATGTAACTAAAAATACAAGATAACACATATTTACACAGTATTAACATTGGGTTTGGTATTATAAGTGACAAGGAGATGATGCATGTATACTGGAGGATATGTAAAGGTTATATACAAATACGACACCATTTTCTGTCAGGGACTTGAGCATCTGCAGATTTTGGTATCCATGGGGCGTTCTGGAACTAATCCCCCTGAATGCCATGGGACGACTGTGGTCCCATGCTGTCCTACCATTTTCTATGGGCATCCAGGGTCAAGATGTTTCTATGAAAATCTCTTTATTGTCTCTTTTGGGCATGTGTGCCCCAGCACCGGGATTCCTTGTCCGGGGTTCTTGTCCTGCCTCTTGCCCTGTCCCTTGCTGTCTCTTCACTTCTTATCAGTCCTGGTAAGACTGCAGCCGGGAGTATCCAGATTACTGTAGAACAGAGGGAGAAATATGATGGGCCTTGGGCACACTAGGGAGGAGGTGACAGGAAAGAAGATTGTAACACCCTAAAAGAGGTTCGTATTTTGTACCATCTCTATTCATCTTTCATTATTATTATTCAGGCACTTGTCACTCAGCTCCCTCGTTTTTTTTTAGAAGGAGTCTCAATCTGTCACCCAGGCTTGGAGTGCAGTGGCATGATCTTGGTTCACTGCAATCTCAGCTTCACAGGTTCAAGCGATTCTCCTGCCTCAGCCTCCCGAGTTGTTGGGATTACAGGCACATACCACCATGGCCGGCTAATTTTTTGTATTTTAGTTTCAGCATGTTGGTCAGGATGGTCTCGATCTCCTGACTTCATGATCTGCCCGCCTCAGCCTCCCAAAATGCTGGGATTACAGGTGTGAGCCACCTAGACCAGCACTTTTTTTTTTTTTTTTTTTTTGAGAAGGAGTCTCACTCTGTCGCCCAAACTGGAATGCTGTGACGTGATCTCAGCTCACTGCAACCTCTGCCCCCCAGGTTCAAGTGATTCTCCTGCCTCAGCCTCCTGAGTAGCTGAGATTCCAGGCATATACCACCATGCCCAGCTAATTTTTGCATTTTTAGTAGAGATGGGGTTTCACCATGTTGGTCTCAAGCTGCTAACCTCAAGTGATCTACCTGCCTCAGCCCCACAAAGCGCTGGGATTACAGGCATGAGCCACCGCACCCAGCCCCAGCTCCCTCTATTTTTTTTTTTTTAAGTCTCTTCATCTTTCCATTCTTTCTCACACCTCCATGGAGTAGCAGGTCCCCCTCCCCTGCTTTTCCTCATCCCCACCTACCCTCCACCCTAGCTCCTGGCTTAGCGTTTGCTCTAGGGATAATAATTTTCTTCTTCCTCCTTCCTTTGTAGAGTGGAGTCTTGTTCAACTGAGAACTTGGAACTTCGGAAGAAGGTAGAGGTTCTAGAGAACACTAACAGGTAAGTGTCACTGGAGTGAGAGTCAGCAGCACTGCCAACATGGAAGGTATGGAAGGAAGGGGATAGAATCCAGAACCAGAGATGGCAGAAAAGTGGAGGAGGTCACAGTGAAAGCGCAGTTGTGCTGAGATGCTCAGCATGGCCAAACTCCACCCATGCACTCCTGCTACACACACACGTGCACACACGTGCTACTCTCATGCACACACACCCATATGCACACATAATCTCACATTCACATCCACAGTACACATAGGTGCACACTCATGTGCACACACACACACACACATGCACACATACATGCATATTCTTTACTTTTCCTAAATGATATAGGATTGAAGAAGAAGCTGATCATGACAAGGACTATTGCCAGGGAGTTAAAAAAAGAGGCTTAGAGGAGAATAAGGTCAACAAGTCTGATTCTCCTGAAAATGACATCAAAATTTAGAGATAAACAAGAAGGCACTGGCCATTTCATTGGAATCCAGTTTTAGTAACAAATGATACTTATTAGTTTTAAAAAAAGAGAAAATCATTGTTTTTAAATTAGTTTTTAAAAATTAATTAGTTTATTAATTGATTGCATTTCAAACCCATCTAAAATAATAATTGCACCAAGTTGATAAATTCCTCCGGTACTTGCTATGCCAAGCATTGTTTTAAGCACTTTACAGCTATGAACTCATTTAAACCTATGAGGTGGCATTATTATTATTCTCAATATATGGAGGACATAACTGAGGTCCAAGGTCACACAGTAAATGCAAAAGCTGCATTTGAACCCAGGCAGTCTGGCTCTGGAGTCTTTATACGGGAGGAGTATGTGGAGATTTATGCCTGGGTCATATGCAAGAGAAAGGGATGAAGGTGAGGTTAAGAAACTGGCATTTTGGTGGGTTTCATTCAGAACGTATGTGTTCGTGTGCTCACACGATGCGTACCTGTGCTGTGACAATGATTTCTTAGTCAGAGAATCCTGTCACCCTGAGTGTTAGAGAGCCAACAAACTCAGCAGAGAAAAATGGACTTACTGGGTAGACAAAAATTTAATCAGATTAAGGGTCAGCATTAATGCCCAGTAACAATTGTGCAAATATTAAGGGATCAGTTTAAATCTCTTTGCATATTATTTGATAATAACAAATGAATTTAATTCCCATTTCCTGATTCTTCATGGTTTGTAGCTCAAAAAGCCAGCTAATACACACATAAGCTAAAACTACTGTCTGTGGGATCCCACTGAAATTTCCTCCGCTTTTCGGGGAACCTGTGCTCAGATAGCGCTCAGGAACAGTTCATGGCAAGTGTTCTGTAAGACAGATCACCCAAAGGGAGGAAGTGCCACCAGCCTAGTGTGGCATTCCCTTGGTCTCCTGAGTCCAGAGAGCTGGTTTCGCCGCTTGCCTTTGGCCATTAGTCTCCTGGGGCTTGCTCTTTTTTTTATGTCCACTTTCACTCCCCTGCGGGGATTGCCTGGGGTGGCTCTGGTTCTTTGGGTACTGCTCCTCCAGACAGCATCAGTATCCTTGTCTTTAGCATCCTGAGCAGATAGGTGTTCCCGCACCCATCCTGGCACTCGCTCCCGCAGAAGCCCCATGCTCATCATGGGTGGGTGGGGCACATCCTGGCCAGGAACTGGTGAAAAAGGGAAGAGCAATCTGTCAAAGACCACTTTGGAGTTTGTGTTCAGTTTCGTCCTCTACAGGCTGTCAGGCCTTCCCTTGGCCACGTGGGGGTAGCAGAGGCACAGCAGGGATGTGTTGGGGCAAAGTGGGGGTGAGTGAGGGAGAAGGACCTACTGGCCACCTTGCCTGGGAAGGGTCTCCCCTCCCCTGCCCTCCCCTGCCCTCCCCTGCCCTCCCCTCCCTTGCCCTCCCCTCCCCTCCCCTCCCCTGCCCTGCCCTCCCCTCCCCTGCCCTCCCCTCCCCTCCCCTCCCCTCCCCTCCCCTCCCCTCCCCTGCCCTCCCCTCCCCTCCCCTGCCCTCCCCTCCCCTCCCCTCCCCTGCCCTCCCCTCCCCTCCCTTCCCCTCTCCTGGTTGACTGTGCTGATTGTTTGATCCTTCCCTTCCCCTTCCCCCTTTCCCCTTTTCTTTTCCTTTTCTCTTTTCTCTTTTTTCTTTATTTTCCTTCCCTCCCTCCCTCCCTCCCTTTCTTCCTTCCTTTTCTTTCTGTTCTTTTCTTTCTCTGTCCCTCCCTCCCTTGCTCCCTCCCTCCCTTCCTCCCTTCCTTCCTCCTTCCCTCTTTCGATCCATCCTTCCACATTTTTATTTTTGTTTGCTTGTGTGAATCAGATATCCAAATAAGGTCCATGTGTTCAAACTGTCTGATGTGTCCATTACATACCTCTTTGTCTGTAAGTTCTCTTTCATGCCTCTGCTTGTTATTTAGTAAAAACCGAGTCAGTTGTCCTATAGAGCTTTCCGTGGTCTCGGTGTACTTATGATATCCTTGTGGTGTGCGTTAGCACAGTCCTACGCCCACTACAGACTCTGCTTGGTTTGGTTTCAGTTTTGGGTAAGAAGTCTTCAGAGTTTCCACTACATGCTTCCCTCAGAAAGAACATAAAAATCGGTTATTTGGTTCTCAACAATTTATAGATATTGCTAGAGAGATCAATACATTAGTGGTTTGAAAGTAGCTTTATGGAATTCAGTCATTTCTCCTCCAGTTATTAGCAGAATATTTTTCTAAAGCAGACTGTTCATCATTAATGAACATGGGTGCGCAGGTAACTCCAGGAGATGCTGATTTCATTGTGTTTGGCTATCTACCAGCAGAGGGATTGCTGGGTCATCTGGTAGTTCCATTTTTAATGTGTTGAGGAGCCTCCACACTGTTTTTCATAATGGTTTATTAACTTACATTCCCACCAACAGTGCAAAAGAGTTCCCTTTTCTCTGCACCCTGGCCAACCCTTGTCACGTCTTGTCTTTTTTTATAATGATTGTGCTAACAGATGTGATATCACGTGGGGTTTTGATATGCGTCTCTCTGATGACCAGTGGCAGTGAGCACCTTTTCATATACCAGCTGGCCATTTTTATGTCTTCTTTAGAGGAGTGTCTATTCAGGTCCTTTGCCCATTTTTAAAAATTGGGTTTTTAAATTTTGCAATTGAGTTGCATGAGTTCCTTATATATTTTGAATATTAACCCCTCATGGTTTATATGGTTTGCAAACATTTTCTCCCAGTCCCTGGGCTGCCTTTTCATTTTGTTAATTGTTTTTGTTGTTGTGCAGAAGCTTTTTAGTTTGATACAGTTCTACTTGTCTATCATATGTTTCAGACTTCAGGAAGATACACACATAATATGTGCCCCTTGTAAAAATAATTTAGAAAAAAGAAAAACTAGAATCCTTTCATTCAGAGGTGTCTTTATGTTTTGGAATATTTTATGTGCATGTATTTATATTGTGCATACTTCTTTGTTAAGAACTGTTTCCACAGAACCAAACACACTGGACATATTCTCATACATTTTTACCGGATCTTTGACTCCCCATTAAAAATAATCTACCTTGGCTGGGCAGTGGCTCATGCCTGTAATTCCCATACTTTGGGAGGCCAAGGTGGGTGGATTACCTGAGGTCAGGAGTTCCAGACCAGCCTGACCAACATGGTGAAACCCTCTCTACTAAAAATACAAAAAATTAGTCAGGCATGGTGGCAGATACCTGTAATCCCAGCTACTCAAGAAGTTGAGGCAGGAGAATCACTAGAACCTGGGAGGTGGAGGTTGCAGTGAGCCGAGATCATGCCATTGCACTCCAGCCTGGGCCACAGAGCAAGCCTCCATCACAAATAATAATCATAATCTAGCTCATGCTATTAGAATCCGAGCCTTCCCTTGCCAGGGTGATATTACTGAATGTGACCAGGGCTAGCCTAGCCACCTGTTAAAGCAGGGAAAGTTTTTTTGTTTGTTTATGTATTTCATTGTCAGCGTTATTAAGGTATAACTGACAAATTTACATGTTTTTACAGTATACAATGTAACGATTTGCTGTATGTGTGTGAAATGATTATCACAATCAGGCTAATTAACACGTCTGTCACTTCACATCATTACTTGTTTTCTTTTTCTTTTTGATGCACATACTTAAGAGCTACTCTCTTATCACATTTCAAGTATATCATTTGGCATTTTTAATTATAGTCACCATGCTGTAAGTAGATCCTCAGAATGTATTTACCTTATAACTGAAAGTTTGTTCTCTTTGACCAATTCCCCCACTCCCAGCCCCTGGTGACCACCTTTCTATTCTTTTGTTTCTATGAGCTTGAATTAAATTTTTTTTTAGATGTAAGTGATATCATACAGTATTTGTCTTTGTCTGCCTTATTTTACTTGCAAAGCAGGGCAAGTTTGTTGATGTTCCTCCCTCCTTGGCCTCCTTCCCTTGAATCTCAGGAGCTCAGTGGCTCCTTCCATTTCTTCTACCTCTCCTCGTGGACTACACGTTTATGGTAGTAATGGCTGGCAATGGATTAATCTGTGATCTTCCCACAGGTAATTGTAGCAGGGACTTCCTCAGGTCATAATATTTAAGGCCAGTAGCTTTTAATGTATTATGGCTTGAGACGGAAAGAAAGAAAAGCAGGGCTGCTGCCGCTGAAACAGAGGAAATGGACCTGGAGTTCCTCTAACTGCTCTTCCCCCTTTCTCTCTGTTTCCTGCCAAGGCCTCGGTGGTACTCAGAGAACACCACACTAACCAAAATGAGTATGATGTGAGCATTGGCAGTGCCCTGCTCTAGAGCCAGCCATGGGGAGCTGGTGATTGGGGTGCTGGGCAAGGGAAGCCTTTGAGGCCCTTTACTCCCATCACCCCGTGCAGGTGACCAGTGTTTGAGCTGTGTGCAGGGCTGGGGGGCTGAGGAACGCATACCTGTGTGTGTGTTCCTGTTGGTGCTTCTCATATTAGCATCCTTCAGAGGCAGTTGGACAGAGTAGAACAACTTTGGCCAGGCGTGGTGGCTCACGCCTGTAATCCCAGCAC